TATATTTTATTGATTTTTTTACAGAGAGGAAGGGAGAGAGATAGAGAGTCAGAAACATCGATGAGAGAGAAACATCGACCAGCCGCCTCCTGCACATCCCCTACCGGGGATGTGCCCGCAACCCAGGTACATGCCCCTGACCGGAATCAAACCCGGAACCCTTCAGTCCGCAGGCCGATGCTCTATCCACTGAGCCAAACTGGTTTCGGCGACCCATGAATTATTTAGAAATGTGTTGTTTAGTTTCCTAGTGTTTGGAGATTTTCCGTTATCTTTCTGTTATTAATTTCTAGTTTGATTCCACTGTGGCCAGAGAACATACCTTTTGTGATTTAAATCCTTTTAAATTTATTGAGTTTTCTTTTACAGCCCAGAATATGATCCATCTTGGTATACACTTAGTGGGCATTTGGAAAGAATGTGTTGAGTGTTTGATAAGTGTTAATTGGATCCTGTTTGTTGATGGTGTCTTGAGTTCTATATTGCTGGTGATTTTTCTGTCTAACTGTCCTATTAAGTGTTGAGAGAGGGGTATTAATTGTAGATTTGCCTGTTTCTCTTTTTAGTTTCATCAGTTTTTGCTGCTTTCCTTTGATTGGTGATTGCATGATATATCTTTTCTTATCCTTTTTCTTTCAATCTGCCTATATATTTAAATTAAGTTTCTTATAGATTTATACTTAATATAATTATTGATAGGTTAAGACATATCTCCCAATTTAAAAAATATTTTCATTGATTTCAGTGTGCATGCCCCACACTGGAGACTGAGCCTGCAACCCAGGCATGTGTCCTGACTGGGAATTGAACCGTGACCTCCTGGTTCAACTACTGAGCCACACTGGCTGGGCTCTCAATTTTTTTGGTTTGTTTTCTGTGTGTTCTCTCTGTTATTCATTTCACTGTCTTTCTTTTTTTCTGCCTTCCTGAGGGTTATTTGATATTTATTTTTTAGAATTCAAATTATCTATACTGTTATATTTTTTAATAAAGATTTTAAAATTGATTTTTAGAGAGAGAAGAAGGGAGAGGGCGAGAGAGAAACATCAATGTGAGAATGAAACATGGATTGGCTGCTTCCTGCACTCACCCCATCAGGGATCGAGCAGGCAACCCAGTCAAATGCCTTGTCTAGGAATGGAACCAACAACCCTTTGGTGCACGGGACTATGCCCAACCAACTGAGCCACACTGACCCAGGCAATAGTGGGTTTTTTTTTTAGTGTCTCTGTATAGCTTTTGTAGTGGTTGCTGTAGCTGTTATAGTACATATATATAACTTCTCTCAGTCTACTGGTGTCATCAGTTTTCTAATTTGAGTGAAACATAGAAACCTTGTCTTCCTTTATGTTTCTTTACCCAATTTTGTATTGTCAGGGAGGGGTGGAATTCCAGGCTCCCGAAGCGTTTTCTACCGACATTGTGGGGAAGGGTGGGGCAGGGTAGGGCTCTTTAATGGCCAGCAGAGATCAAAGCTTTGGCCTTCTCTCACCATACCCTACATTGGTGGGGTAGTTGAATACTTTGACCCATGAAGCTGGAAATCTAGGCTCCCCACTTGGCCTTTGCTGATGTGGATAGGGCCATAGTAGAGCTGCTATTGTCTAAAAAATTTCTGTCTTGCTAGGTTGTTCCTTTCCTAATCCTTTGCCCAGAGAGAATGGGCTGTTTTTTCTTTTCTGTGCCCATTTGCTTTTTGGACAGCCAGCTCCAGCTTCTTCAGCTTCAAGTCTGGGATCTCCGAGGCAGAAAAAACCCACTCGTCCAAGGGCACCCAGCTACCCCCAGGCAGTCTAGTTGCGGAGTCTTGTTCTTAACCACTACACGCACCTGTTGCTCCTCTGTCCCCAGCTGCTCTACCAGGAGGAGCTGAGCACCACCAAGCTTGGGCTCTTCCCTCCTGGACAACTACTGCAGTGGTCGGCCCAGAGCACATGGCCACTGCCCTGGGAAGGCCACGCGCCCTCCACAAAGTCCATGGAGCCACTGGAGTTTGTTTTCCAGGGCCCAGGGGGCTTGGCACAAAGCCTAGGTGAGATTGATGTGCCTAAAAGCGTGGGCCAAGCAGCTGCAGTGGGGTGTTCCACCACATACATGGTTTGCCAATAAGGCCTTGACGTTATTTTTATTTATTGTTATTATTTTTACAATGTAATAGGACGGGGCACAGTTTTTTTTCTAGGCCACTACATTATGTTTATAGTCTTTATTTTCAGATGACTTTTTTCTTACTTTATGTCCATTTTCTCAATACTTTAGTGTTTTGTTTTTTTGTTGTTTTTTAATTAAATATTTATTGTTGAAAGTATTACCTATGTCCCTTTTCCCCCCATTGACCCCTTCCAGCCCGACCCTGTACCCACCCCAGGTCTTCACTACCCTATTGTCTGTGTCCATGGGTTATGCATACATGCATACAAGGTCTTTGGTTGATTTCTTCCCTCCCACCCCTGCCTTCAGTACTTTAGAGTTTTAATAATGGCTTCCCCAAAATTTAAGATTGGCTTTATAGTAAAACCATTTAAATTTCATAAGAATTCATAAGGCTCTTTCTCATGGAATTATTCAAGCTACTTAGTCATGTGTGAACCTACTGAAATGGAATGGTTTAAATAATTGAGGGAATTGATACTCCATATGCCTAAAATTCTAACATTAGTGCATGGATAGTTATTAAAAATCAAAGAAGACAAATTTATAGAGATCATATGAGTTAATTTCTATCTTCTTTGTATTAAGAAAAAGTTCTTGTTATTTTTGCCTCATGACAAAGGCTGTGGTGGTAGAGAGAGAAAAATGCATAGCAGGACATTATGTAATGAATTTGATCATGATATAAGACCTGATTTTTCTGCATGACTTGTTAATTTTTAAAAATTGCACAGAAATGCATACAATCATTATTTTAAACTTTTATAGAATTCAGAAGCATGCAAAGAAGTCAAAGTTAACTTTCAATCCTTGCCTTGCTAAAAGATATATTTAAAAAAACCATTTATAGCCTTAGCTGGTTTAGCTCAGTGGGTAGAGCATTGGCTTGTGGACTGAAGGGTTCGATTCCGGTCAAGGGCATGGTCAGGATTCGCCTAAGAGGCGGCAATTGATTTGTTTCTCTCACATCAATATTTCTCTCTTTCCCCCTCTCTTCCAATCTCTCTAAAAATCAATGGAAAAATATCCTCAGGTGATGATTTTTAAAAAGCAAGGCACAGTCTGTTACCTTTTGTGTTAAAAAAAAATCAAACTGTATTGATAGCTATATATTTGCCTGTGTGTGAAAAGAGTTTCTGGAAGGATATCGAGAATCTGGGGAGGGGACTTGAATGGCTAGGTTAAAGGCCGGGGACACTTCGCAGACGTAGAGGTGGGTGGGAAGCTGGAGGCTTTGGTCTTGAACTAAGAATGGTGATCCTGAGCCCCGGGAGAACCCAAGGGTTGGAAGTGCAGACGTCCTTCAGGTGAGCAGGAAGGACTGACACCAAGAACGCTGGCCAGGCAGGAGACAGGCCTGCAGGGAGGTGTCTTGGGGTGGGAGTGGCTTTCAGGTCGCATTCCCCGGCCACCAGGGGGCAATCAAGCCCGCTCCTGTAAGCGGGTGGGTCGGAGCGCCAGAGGCAGGTCCCGCCTCCAGGCCCGCCCGCTTTCCCAGACCTCTCCCCGACCCATCTCAGGTCTCAGCCACTTGGAACTTCATGAGGTGCACCTCCTCCCTCCTCCTGGGGAGTCCGCCTATTAGCGTTTCTCTCACATCAATTGTGAGAGAAACAAATTGACTGGCCGCCTCCTGTGCGAGTCCTGACCATGCCCTTGACCGGAATCGAACCAGGGACCCTTCAGTCCACATTAGTGATGACCTGCAGCCCCTTCAACATCCAGTCCTCTGTCGGGGTTATCTCATTCAATCTTGACCACCACCACCTAAGAGGAGTGCTGCCATCATACCCATTTCATAGAGGGGAAAGTTGAGGTACAGCGGTTGGTAATTTGCCCAAAGACCAGGAATGGTGACCCAAGATACACACCTGCCTATCCTCGGAACTGGAGCGTTAACCAAACCACGTCTTCTTTTCGACTCAGCTCCTCCTCCGGAACTTTCTTCACACAGCAGCCAGGGCGCTTTGGGGGCCCTAAGGGGCATGTCATTCCCTAGCAGCCTCTCTGGCTGCACTCAGGATCAAGTTCAGTCCGCTCTCCCCGTTTCTCAACTCGACACCCCAACTTTCCTTCAGCTCGAAGAAAACTGTTCAATCTGGACCTGCTGCTCCATCAGGACCCCTTGCCCCTGCTCCCCTCTTAGTTAACCTGTGTAGTCTTCAGGCCCGGGCCTCTGGGTCACCCCGAGGGAGGCCGACTTCCTGACTCCCAGATATGCCCAGGCCCCGAATGAAATGCTGTTTAACCAGACGTGCGCTTCGTTTTTGTAACTGTCATGGCATCATTATTTCAAAAACTCAAATCACCCTTGACTCCTTACGCTCTAGAACTCTCTCTAAAACAGCTGATCTTGTGATATCTACCTTTAATGTTACCTCAAGTCTGACCCCTTATCTCTTTCCCCACTAGGTCCGTCTGGCCGTGCTTCCTCATGGTCGTTTCCACCTCTGCAACAGCTGTCTTTATCTTTGTCTGTCTGTCTGTCTCCCTGACTAGAATGAAAGCTCCGTAAAGGCAAGGACTTTGTTCACTACAGAATCCCGTGTCTAAGGCTGTGCCTATGGCTATCTGACTGTTTCTCCCACCAGAATGTCAGCTCCTGGGGCCAGGAACTGCCTGTCCTGTTCACATACAGCCCCAGTGCCCAGCACACAGCAAGTGCTCAATAAAAAGCCCATCAATATGCAGGTGGAGAAACTCAGGCCCAAGGGAGAAAGCAGCTTGTCCACGGGCCTCCCCGGAGGGCAGCTCAGCCAGCACCAGCACCCAGCTCTCCTCCGGCCTCTGTGTCAGGCAAGCAGTCCCTTCTTTCCCGTCCCAGAACACACAAGAGCGCAGGCCCTTTGCTCAATGATCAACACAGTTTATTACTCCACTTTCACCGTCACACAAACTATTTCAAAGAGCTGGGACAAGTGTGGGGTGGGGGTTGGGGGTGGGATAGGTGCCCCTCAGGAGCCAGGACCCCTGGTTGGCTTCCTCGGACCAGGGCAGGGAGGGAGCGTCAGGCTGTTCAATCTCTGGGCACCAGCTCTCCATGTGCACACGCACAGCAAGCCAGCAGCTCCTCACACATAAATACAGACACGCTTAACAAAAATAGTATATCTTCACAAGGAATAAAAACTAGTTTTGAATATGTACAGCAGAGAGCCCAGAGGGTGTGTGTGTGGGGGGGGGGGGGCAGGGCTGCTAGGCCGGGACCCCCAGGGATGAGACAGGCTATGGGTAGAGCAGAGGAGGGAGGGAGGCCTGAAGGGCTCCTGGCCAGGCCATTCTGACCTGGCAGCCCAGCCTGACCTGGCAGCCCAGCTGCCTAGGCTGAATGGGGGTGGGGCACAAATCTGTTTGGCCAGGCAGGACTGGCCCCTCCAGGCCGCCCTACTTCCACCCTGCACACCAGGCTCTCCTTCCTGCCCTTCCTGCCTGAGGTAGGGAAGACCCTAGGGCTCCCATAGCTACTGCCTGTAGCTCCCCTTCCCCCCTGGGCCGAGGCCTCTGAACCCCATGGGCAGCAATCCAAAGCAAAGATGCCACAAGGCTGATCTCCTTGCAGGAAGTGAGGCAGCTGAGGCCATAAACAGCTCTGGGGCACCTGTCTTGGGCCCAGTTGGTCCCTCAGTCACGGTCATGGGAGCCAGGGGAGGGGAAGGAGAGGGAAGCTGGGGTAGTGCTAAACTGCAAGGGACACCCAAGCTTTGGTATGGGGTGCTTCCTGCAGTACAGCCCCCTCCTCCTGGGTTAGGCTGGCCTCTAGCCAGACACCTCTAGAGGACATTGGGGCTGGGGTTGGAGGGGAGACTTTGGTCAGGCCAGAGTTGGGGAGGGGGTCCTGGTCCTTGTTTCTTTATCCCAAGCAGCCTGAATCCCTAATTAGTCAGAATTGGCCCCTAAGTGGCCACTGGAGGGTGGGAATGAAAGAAAGGGGAACCCAGGTCCTAGAGGGTGGGGTGGGGTGGGGAGGGGATAAGAAATGATCAATTCTGAGGCCACAAACATGAAAACGAAGGCAATCTAGTCTTTCTAGGAAAAGGGGTCAGAAAACTTTCTAGCTCCCTGGCAGGAAAGCATTCTAGGGGAGGCTAAGGGATAAGGAGGTCCCACCAATCAGGTAGGGCCCTTCCAGCCATCAGCCATTAACTCCCACATGCCTGCCAGCTCCATGGGGCAGATTTTGGGGAAACTTTGTGGGTTTTGAGGCCAGGAGAACTGAGGTGTGGGGGAAGGCAGCTCTCACGGAAGCATAGTAAATTCTAGAAAACTAATTGTGGGGGACCAGGTCTAGGCCCAACCCTGTGATGTGTAGGGTGGCCATGGGCTATATGTAGTGGTTCTCCTGGTGGCAATGGTGGCTGAAAGGAGGGATGTGGTGAGGAAAGGACGGGCGTGGGAGGGTGAGTGGATGGTCAGTGTCCGGTCATTTCCGACTGAAGAGTGAGCCCAGCAGAACCACGCCAGCCACAGTCATGCCCGTCAGGAACCAGCGATTGAAGCGTTCCTGGCCCTTCCGGCTCTCGGCTGCTGCGTTGTTCCCATAGAGTTCCACAAAGGTGTCCTGCAGGGAGAGAGAGAAGGAGAGGTGCTATTGGAATCCTCAAACAGTAATGTGGTGCTCGGAGAAGGGGCCATCTTCATGCGATGGCCTTAATGTGAAAAGCTGCTGTCATCCTTGCCCACTCTGGGCCTGATAAAGGGTTAAGAACTGCCCTCCTTCTTGACCTCCAGTTGGAAATGACCAACCCATTTTATTGCTGAGAAAGCGAGTGTGAAGTAGGAAAAGAGCCTTGTTCCAGGTCAGACAGGTAGGAAACAGTACTCTAGAACCTGAGGTGGGAAAGACATGGGCAGGAAATGACTGGAGGCCAATTGCTGGAGCAGAGTGCAGAAGGAAGGATAGGAGAGACGAGGGTGCAGGGATGAGCGAGAGCTGACCACGTGTGATCTAAGCCGCAGAGAAGCCTGGAGTAGAATCTGAGTGAGGGCAGGGTGGAGCCATAAGCTTTCCACTGCTGTGATGGAGAGAGGGAGGGAGAGAAAAGGGAAAGTGAATTCCCAGAATGATTCCTGGCAGAGGATGTCTCCCTCTTCCTCTGCCCAGGGAGGCTGAGCAGGGCAACGCAGAGACCAGAACAAGCACACAGGCCTGGGGTGGGTCTATGAGCTCCAGCCCTGTTCCCCACCCCAGGGGGGACATGACTCTGTGTCCAGGAGGAGGTGAGCAACAGCTCTGGGCCCTGAAGCTAGTCAGGAGGGAAGCACATGATATGGGAGGGAGGGGCTTCGGGTTAAATTACCCAGCCTGGGGTGGAGCTGGCCTGTGGGGCAGGGAAAGGGGAGCTTAGAGTACCCTTTAATGAGAAGCTTCCCACCCCATTTGTCCTTTAATCCTCCCAACAATGCTGCAAGGCAGGCTGTCTCTCCCCATTTACAGACCAGGAAATTGGCCTCTGAGGGCGGAGGGACTTGATCAGGTCACCCAGCTCTGTCAGTGGTGGAACCAAAACCCAAGCCTAGCATGTGACACCTAAAGATCAATGTGCTGTGTGGGTCCAGGGAGGGAATGAGATGAATTCCTGGCTGGTTCCAGAGCCAGTGTTCTTGCCTCCGCCAAGCGCTCACCGCTTGGGCCACAGTTCCACCTGGTCCCAGCTGAGGGTGCCTGCTCCTCAGACAGGGCCTGCCGTCTCCAATTGGCCCCAGGTCGCACCCAGCCAGTTTGCTCTGATGCTGACTGGCCCACCTCTGGTCTTGATAACCCCCCTCAGTCCATGCTCCACACAAAGAAGATTTTTAAAAACAAAGATCATAGTACGCCTGTGCTTAAAGCCCTCTAACAGCTTCTCTCCGCGCTCAAAAAGCCACTGTCATGTCTGTTCATATCCCTGGTATCCTAGCAAGTGCCACGTGCACTGAGCTGCCAACTTGACTCAAAGAATCCTCAACATTTATTCAGCCATTAGGAAGGTAGCAGGGACACATAAGCCACAGCCCTTACCAGAAAGCTTACCCTTCTGCTGGGAAAAGTCCCATTCAGACCACATCACTCCAAGCTCTTAACCTTCCCGAGGTTTCCCAGTCGTACCTGGAATCAAGTCCTTATCACAACCAGCAGGCTTAGCAGGGCCCCTCCCCACTGCACACTCCACACGTAGCACAGCCTCCTCGCTGTTCCGGAGTATCTGCTGAGCTCAGGAGCTTGTTGCTCTTGCTGCCTGGAGCGCTGGACCCGAGATCATCACCTGCCTCCCTCCCTCACTGCGCTCCTGACTCTGCTCAAACGTCACCTCCTCAGAGGCCTTCCCCGGCCCCCGTGTCTAACATGGTATCCACCCCCATCTATCTATCTCCTTACCTTCCTTTATTTTTCTTCTCAGCACTTTTCATAACCAGATTCTACACTTTGTTTTTGTTTGATTTATCTCCTGCACTCGATGTGGCTTGACGAGGCAGAGATTTTGTCTTGTTTCTATACACCCAGAACACTATCTAGCACATAGTTGGTAGTCGATAAATACATGGGTAGAATAAAAGTATTGCATGTCTACTAAGTGCCAGGCACTATTATCTCATTGCACCTTCATCATAATTCCCAGACTAGCGATCTGAAACTTATTTCACAGATGAGACAACTGAGGTTTACAGTAGGAAGGCCTTGCTAAAAGGTGGCAAAGCCAAGATCAGAACTCAGGACTGCCCAGCTCCAAAGGGAGTGCTGCTCCATTCCCTGTGCGGGGCATTGGGGAGGACCTGTCCTGTCACTAGTGCTGAACGGATTCCTGTTTAAAAGGATGTGGAGTGGGGTGGAGGTGAGCCTTGGGCCTGGGGAGAAGGTATAGCAGCGGCAGCAGTCAGCCCCCCTTGAACTCTTGGCCTTGTTGCTGCCAGGCATGGCTGGTGTGGATATGCATCCCTGTCTCTCCATCTTTATCCTGGCTAGCCTCCATTTTTGTTGGCAAAAAAAATTCTTATAGGAGTTTTAATTTTTCTGATCCGAAGCAAAGTAGGCCCAGGTGAATTCACAAAAAAGACAGACCTGTGATGGGGGGAGTCCCTGGCTGTGGGGAGGCATGGCCAGAAGGCCATGGTTATTCCAAGGGGCCAAATGTCCCATAAGAAGCCCGGGACATTGGGGCTGTAGCCAAAGTGGGAGCGGCCTGGCTCCCTCAGTGGGAACTTTCCTGAAGTAGAGGGCTGGCAGCCACAGGACATTTTCGGCTCTGGGGCTGGGCTGGAGTAAACAGGCTCTGTCCCTGCAAAGGCACAAAGCACTCACTGTCCAGGAACAGTCATTCCAGGGTGGAGGGAACATTCTCATTTCGGTGCCATCAAGAACAAGGCTCTGACCTGCCCAGCCCCCACGAGTGCATTCCTGGCCAGAACAACACTTCATCTCCACTTCAAGGAGCGCCTTCTCTTAGGGGGGTGGAGGGGGGCAGGATTCCCAAGGCTGTGGATTCTGCGAATTGCTTTTGTAGACAGAGCACCAGCAGAATGGGGCGTGCTGTTCCAGGGCGGGTGCCGGGAGGCAGCGGTGTGGGTATATTTAGCCCACGGTTCACACGACACACTTGGAAACAAACACAGCCATTTTCTCAGCGGGCGGCTGCTCTGGATAAATAAACAGGATTGAAAGCAGCCCAGTCTGGAAAAGCAGAGATAAGCCCCCAGTGCTCCTCAATGGCTCCCACTGGTTTCAGCCAGAGCTGGCATGGTGGGCAGAGAGATGAGAGGTAAGGGTGAGTTGCAGGGAGGTCTCTGATGTCACAGAGGCTTTAGGAGACCCAGGCCTGGGAGACTGTCTACATCCTCAGCGTGGGTTACAGCAAATGGAGGAAGTTCTCTTTGCAGCTGTGACTGCTACCACAGGAATCCACGTGGGAGTTTTCAGGGCCACTGGCGAGAGGCAGTGGCTAATGACCCCCATGGGAGAATCATGGGCTACTAGCTAGGCAGACCCCACAAGTCAATAAGGCCAGCACACCTGCCCATTCTAGTGTCACACAGCCAGTTTGTGGTAGAACTTGGATAGAAACTGGGGTCTCCTCGCTTGGAATTGGGGCCCTTCAGAATGGTAAGACAAGAACCAGGGTCCACAGAAGTCAAGGCTGGGCCCACTTTCAAGGCCCTGCCTCCCACAGTCCTGGGCCCACCCCACACGCTCCAGAGTGCTTCCTGGCCCTGTGCCTTGCCAACACTGTGTCCCTCTAACTGGTCACCCTTCTTGCATCTCTCTTCCTCAGTTAGCCAACCTCACGTTGGAGTCCTGTCTTCCCAGAATCCTTCCCTACTAGTCCCTTCTCCAACTCTGGGACAAAAGTCGTCTTTGTGCTTCCAGGGTTTATGGACTTTCATTCACACCATAAATATTTACCGAACACCTTCCATGCACCAAGCTCGGCTCTGGAGACACAGCAGTGAGCAATACAAACAAGGTTCCTGCTTTCCTGGAGCTTGTGTTGTAGTCTGTGCATGCTCAGCTGGGGTGATATCAACTCCAATGGAGCCAAGTGAAAAATTCTGGGATATTGCAGTGGTTTGTGGCTTTGCAGCACCACAGCACATATAGACATACAAGTACAGTGGTGGTATTCAAATGTAATGGGAGGGCAATTAGGACAAAAATGTCTAAGAAGACTCCTTGGGGATGGTAATAAGGAAAAAAAGGCTGAGAAACACTGTCATAGTGGGAAGCAGAGAAGATAAGAAACAAGACAATTTCAGAGGTGATTGGGTTTTGAAGACAGTAAGTTATGGGGAGGTGACAATGCCTGGGGGACTGATGTAGGTGGTGGAATGCTCAGAGATCTTTCTGGAGAAGTGAGGTTTGAGCTGAGATCTGAATGAGGAGGTGGAGGTGGCCAAGGATCAATAATCTCAGGTCAGCCCTAACCGGTTTGGCTCCGTGGATAGAGCATCAGCCTGTGGACTGAAGGGTCCCAGGTTCGATTCCGGTCAAGGGCATGTACCTTGGCTGCGGGCATATCCCCAGTGCAGGGTGTGCAGGAGGCAGCTGATCGATGTTTCTCTCTCATCGATGTTTCTAACTTTCTATCCCTCTCCCTTCCTCTCTGTAAAAAAATCAATAAAATATATTTAAAAAAATAATCATCTCAGGTCAAAAGAGCATGTTCCAGCAGAAGCAAGTGCAAAGGCCTGAGGCAGGAAGGGAAGGCAGGGCATCCCTACGCTGAGGCTCTCTATCTGTGTGTCAGTCTCTCCCATCAGTCATGGTGCCTCAGTGCAGCAGGAATCAAGTCTGATCCATGTCTGAAGCCAGGGGCCCATCCAAACCGTGATGACTAACGTCGGATAGATCTCTGCCCAGAAGCAGCCAACTGAATAATGCAATCCACCTGCAACCCTGGAGAAGCCAGGAAAAAGGCTGGCACAAGGATGTACCTACCCTATCAGGGCAACAATACAGTCCCTGCTTGAACCTGATCAGCTCTCCAATTCCCATTCTTCTCCTCTCTCACCTCCCATGTTTCCACGCTTCTTCCTAGGGTTATGACTTTGAGCAGGTTACTTCACCTCTCTGGCTCCTAGTGTCCTCAC